GAGGGGGCCAAAGTTTCGCCCCCTATAGTCAGCGATGGTGTCAGCTGACTATGCCGAGGCGCTGGCAACCACAGCCACTCGGTCTTGGAAGGGTTGAGCCTGAGTCTGTTCCTCCCCATCCAGACCCATACGGCCTCCAGGCAACGGGCCATCACGTCAAGGGCAACGTTGGGGTGGTCTGGGGTGGAAATGTACAGCTATCGTCAGCGTACTGATGGAAATCCACCCCAAAACCACGAATGATCTCCCCCAGCGGCTTTACATAAATATTGAACAGAAGGGGAGAGAGGACCGACCCCTGCGGCACCCCACAAGTTAGGGGCCTAGGAGTCGACCTCTGTCCCCCTGCCAATACAGACTGCGTACTGTCGGTGAGGAAGGAGGAGAACCACCGCATAACGGTGCCTCCCACTCCTAGCCCACCGAGACGCCGCAGCATGATATCGTGGTCTACGGTATCAAAAGCCGCTGAGAGGTCCAAAAGAACAAGGACAGAGGAATATCCCCTGTCCCGGGCCCTCCAGAGATCATTAATCAACGCGACCAATGCCGTTTCCGTGCTGTGCCCCGGCCTGAAGCCCGACTGGTATGGGTCTAGATAGACTGATTCATCCAGGTGTCCGGGGAATTGCTGCGCAACCATAGTTCCACAGCTCAACCCTGAGCTTATTACTATTCTCTTCTATTGGAATGAAGACACTGTTGTGAAAACAGATTGAAGTGATACTTTCGTGACATAATTTGTTCAGACGTGTGGCTACTGTGGTCGCTGGAAAAAGTTTTAACAACCGAAATGTTATGCCCTGCAGCTCTTCCACCTCCTCCTGCAGCAGACGAGGAAGCGGCTTCTGCAAACTATTTCAATCTATCTCCTAGTGGCCCTCCAGCTGTTGTAAACATTGCCCTTCCGCCACCTCCTGGCATCGCGCCACCGCCACCCCCAGGTAATTATTACTTCTGACCCCAGAGAAACAGATGCTTGAGTACCGTTCTTTAAACGAATAGAGTAGCACAGTGGTGGCGAACCTATGGCATGCGTGCCAGAGGGGGCACTCAGAGCCCTCTCTGTGAGCACATGTATCATCGCCCCAGCCCCGCCTTCCCCCATGGCCTCCTCCTCACCAGCAGCCCCCCCCCCCGGAAGACGACTCGCCCCCAGGTGCGGCCCATGCAGAGCAGAGCAGCCAAGGACATGGCAGCCGGGCAGCAGGGACAACACTCCGCCCTCACATCCCGTTGTGTGCAGACAATGCTGCGGGGCGCGGGAGGCCGTGGCCGCCATGGCACTGCTGGGCCGCCTGGGCAATCTGCGGCGGGCCGTGGAGGCAGTGGGTGGCCCTGCGGGCAGGTGGGGCAGGTGAGCAATGGGGGGGGGCAGTTTTGGGGCACTCGGTCTCTAAAAGGTTCACCATCACTGGAGTAGCATATTCCATTGTCTGAGCATCTTCAGAAACTTGTAAAGAGTGGGGGACAGGAATATCACTTAAAAAAAATCTGCTATTTCAGCAGCACTTTTTGCTTTCTTCATTTCTAACCTTTGCAAAACAAACCCAGGGGATAAGGAAATAGTTGGTCAAAATTATTTTTTTCGCTAGAAGATTTTCAGATTGATTGTAAAAAAAGAAATCCTTGGTTCAGTGTACTCTACCGTATAAATCAATACAGGTAGTCCTTGACTTACAACCATTCGTTTAGTGACCGTTCAAATGTATGGCACTGAAGAAAGTGACTTGTGACTATTTTTCACACTTATGACAGTTGTAGCATCCCCAGGGTCAAGTGATCAAAATTCAGATGCTTGGCAACTGGCATGTGTTTGTGACAGTTTGCAGTGTCCCGGGGTCATGTGATCACCTTTTTGTCACCTTCTGACAGGCAAAGTCAGTGGGGAAGCTGGATTCACTTTACAGACAAGTTACTAACTTAAAAACTGCAGTGATTCATTTAACTATGGCAGGGTCGTAAAATGGGGCAAAACTCACAACAAATGTTGCGCTTAACAACCGAAATTTTGGGCTCAGTTGTGGTCATAAGTCGAGGACTGCCTGTATATAATTGCCACCACCATAATTTTTTTAAAAAATACATTTGCGATGCTTTGTTTTGAAAAGAATTTAGTTTCGAATTCATGCAAAAACCTTCAGGCAATGTGCACTTGAAATACCATAAAACTAAAAGCAAAACTGCAGCTAACTAATGGCAGCTAAATAAAAATATATTAAGGGTAAATAAAAATATTATTAAATCCAATCATTTCAGCACATTCCAGAGGAGCTGTTAAGTCTTGCCTTTATTTGCAGAAATCTTGCTTTTATATGGGAAATGAATTGTCCATAATCTTTTTTTTTTTTTTATCCTGCAGGATTTGGGCCACACATGTTCCATGCGATGGGACCTCCACCTCCTTTTATGAGGGCTCCAGGCCCCATACATTATCCTTCTCAAGATCCACAAAGAATGGGTGCACATGCGGGAAAACACAGCAATCCTTAACCCCACTGACTCCTTTCTTATTTTTCTTTGGACAAGACATTTAAATTTGTGGCATATCACATACAGTTACAATAAATCTCCCTCGTTTCTGTGCACCCAGCACAGATTTAATCTTATTGTGTTTCACAGCAACAAAAACTGACCCCCTGTATAATAACCAAAATTCTTAACTGGGGGGGGGGGAGGAAAGAGTGGTTTCTGTTTAAAAAGAAAAAAGAAATAAAAGAAGAAGCATATCTATGAATTTTGTTTAAAAAAAAATACAATTTTGCTAGAGTTACAAGCACCATAAATTCCATTTTGCACACCCTTGATAAGTCTTTTGACTTATTGTTATTTTAAGTCTGCTTACCGCCAGCCAGTTAACAGTGGAATTGACCCAAGCCTGTTCAGGTCTCGGTCACACCTTCACAGCTCAGTTACTCTTATCACTGTTGAAATTAGCTCCAGATTCCTCCTTGCACTGAGCTGGACTGGCATAACGTGGAAAGTCTCAGCAGACTCCCTTGAAGATCATGCAGATGGTGTGCCACTTTGTATCAAAGCTGTTTCTGTCATTCATGATCCTGGCTGTAATACATGCTATCAAAATGTTGAGACAGCAGTTCTGCATGCTTGCTAATCCTCTTGTTACAGAGGAAACGACCTGAGGTAAAAGTTCCACGGCCTTCATTTGCTTCCCTAGCCTGTCTGGTTTATTCCTTAATCTAATGTTTGATTATTGATGGTTGTTTTAGATATGTGTTTCATTATTTACTTTGCACCATCTTTCTTGGTCCTTGGTCTGTAATGTGTCTTAGTAAAGAAAATCATATTTTTTACCTATTCTCAAGTTTCATTATTTTTTTTTTAAAGAAAATATTCCTAATTGGTTTTCTCAGTGATGTTTGAACCTAGCCTTTAGTTTGTTTATTTGTTAAATTAATTTGCTGCCTATCTTGCCATGAGGTAACTATGTGGCTTACATTAATAAAAAGGAAAAAAATGAAAGGAGTGTAAACAGAAGTAAAATAATAGAACAATAAAATGAACAAGGAACACAACGAGAATCGTCATCATGCTAGAGCCATTATCTTCCACTGCCGGATGGAGGCCTCGTCCCAGTGGTGGGATTCAAATATGTGAACAACCGGTTCTCTCTGTGGATGCCACTTCTGGAAGTCCCATTCTGGGCCTGGGCAACAAAACATTAGCTACCGGTTCTGCCGAAGTGGTGCAAACTGGCTGAACCCCACCACAGCCTCGTCTGCATGTTTCCAACCCATACGGTTCTGAGCTTTCTTTTGCCAATTGGGCCTGCAATACTTGCTGATGTCGGTCGATCCATGATAACCAAAAAGATGGATGGATGGAGAACAGAGAGCAAGGGGAGGGGAGGTGGAGTCCACCTCCACCGTGGAACCTCCCCCATTTGGTTCCCAGGCCAACTGGCACAGCCAGGTCTTCAGGCTCTTGTGGAAGGATTGGGGAGGGAGGGAAATCTTACTTTAAAAAGTAAGATGCTCCAAAGGCAGGTGTTGCAGCAGAGGCTGTTCTGGCTCTTGATAGTCGGAGTTGGCTAACAATCCAAAGTAGTCCCTGTTTGCTGGCAAGAGTAGGATAGCCTTGTCCTAGCTGGACAAGGCAGTTCATCAGATGGCCTGGACCTATGCCATTAAGGGCTTTAAGGGTAATAACACTGAACTGCATTTGGAAACACGTTGGTCGGCAGTGAAGTTTGCAGAGCAGAGGTGTAATATGGGTCATCCTTTGGGGCCCCAAAGACTGCTTTCACTGCTGCGCTTTGCGTCAGCTGAAGCTTCTGAATGAACTTCAAGGATAACCCCTTACAGAGTGTGTGTTGCAGTAGTCCAGGTGAGAAATGACCACAGTTGCATAATTGCAGCTCTCCAAAATGAATATATATTCTTCAATGTTTGCTTCATAATCCAGGCTGTTGGAAAGGCAGTAATAAACCTATCCCACCACGCATTTTGACTTTTAGGCCTGTTGACGTAGCTGGAACCCAAATTGTAGGGTTACAATGCTCATGTTCTTACCCAGGCAATTTCAATTTCCAGATTTTATAAAAGGAGATGAACATCGACATGAATTGCATAAAGAGAAATGAATTGCATAAAATATTGACTTTCTTCCCAGCCATTTTTAATAATTAAACATAGCTCAAGGACCAATATTAAAATGCTATACTTGAACTTAGGCATGCCTGATATTAGACTGCTTTTCCAGTTTTGTCTGGAAAAAGGGGGATGTCAATAAAGCAAGATGGCAGAAGTGACATTGTGACACTAGTCCTACCGTTGCGTGGACAAAAAGATCAGGAGCAATGTGATGCTGTTCCTGCTGCTTTGCCTTTTTTTTAAAGTCCTGCCTCCCCCCCCCATCCCAAAATCCCCGAGTGGATACTGCTGATCATGACTTTTAAATCACTTAAGAACCACATTATATTAATATCCACGGACAACCTACAGCAATAGATTTAAGAAAGCAGAATATTAAAATCAAAGTTTGTAATCTAGGCAGGTGTGTCCAAGCATCTGCCTTGAATACAGAGATAGCAGTATTGAATCACTGCATTTGATAACCCATCTGAATTACATAATTACGAAAAAGTTTACTCTGTTATATATTGTAGCACCTTAGACATGTAAAGTGCCACAAGAGTCCCATGAGAGGTTACAAATGTGTAAGTAAAACTTTTAGCTCATTATTGTGACCATAGCTGTCTAAAAATTGTAGCCACAATAGAGTGATTGGGGTGCTAAAATAGCCTTTGAAGTTTGCCATTAATTATGATGAGAATGAGGTGTCTTTTTATTAGTTTTACCTTCATATCATGAATAATTTCTCTTTTTTGGAAAAATAACATTGCTTGACCGAAACAAAAAACTCAAAGCAAAATGCATTTAAAATAGATCACTTTATTTCTCTAATATATAAATATGATATATACTTAACCAGGCTAAAAAGTGGACAGTTGTTTACTGAAAACAAAAAAAATTATTAACAATTATTAGTTAAGAACCTCTGTGTTTCTGATATTTCATTGCCAAAGTGCCAATCTTAACGACCCCTTTGCATATAGTTCAAATCTGCTTTGAAGTCTGGGAGATCCTCAGAGCAAATTTGTGTTATTGGAGGGGGGAAAGGGGGAGGACACAATAGAAAGTCTCATCGTGGGAAAAGATGTTTTTAATGCTGATTGGAGTCCTTTTTAAATGCCCCGTTGCTCTTTTGGAATACATGGGAAGGCATTCCTTGAGTGTTCTAAGTGGCTGCAGTGCCCCTTTGATAGGAGCTGACATTTCGGTTTCCATTAAGTAGCGAAATGTCACTGTTGCTCCTTTCAAAACTGCAGAATTTGTTAACCAATAAATACCAGTAAATTAAATAAATTATGCAATCTAATTCTTTGATAAAGCTGAAAAAATTCAAACATGAAGGAAAATGTATTAATGAAAGCAGATAATTGAATGAGGCTTTCTATTGTTTACACAAAGTCTTTGGTTCCAAGATCTGGCAGGTAGACATCTCCAGCTTTGTCAATATGCTTAATAGTCTCCGCATAGGCATATAGAAAGAATACAGGAGCACAGACTGGTCAAAATCCAAACTACTTATCTGGACCCTGCAAAGACTATCATTGATAAAGGTGTTATTTAAAAAAATCTCCCCCTTTCCCCATAAGTTTTAGTTTCTGGATACTATACTGCAGTATCTCATCAACTCATTAACTTTTCTCAATTTTATTAATATTTTCAGTGATGGATTTCCTAATTCTTTTTACTAAATATAACTTCACAAAAATAAATGGGGACAATGTAACCTGCAAGAGCTAATAGGAATATGAATTTCATTTAACAATAATATTGATATAATCTCTTACTGTGCCCCCAGTTCTCTGTCTTCTTCTAGAAAACTTCTAGTAATGTTTTGTTAAAAACCGGACTTGTATCATTATCTAGGTTATTGAAAACAAACTTCTGAAAACGGCTTCCAACATAAGAAAATCAGACTTGTAATAGATGTGATTTTTAAAAAAAAAATTTCTAGCAACTCTTACAACATCTTGCTTTGATCTCTCTCAAAAAATTCTGGGTATTTAATTACAGACAAACTAGACGTAAACATAAATCCACATCTGACCTATCATTTCTTTCAAAATAACAACAACAACATGAAGCCCAGTTCATGTTAACCTGCTTTATTTTATTTAAAATTTAATTTCAATTTAGATGTCTACCCATCTAATGAAATGGATCTGAGTGGCAATCAGCAGATCACAAAATAAAAAATAACACCTCAATAAATCTATAAAGCGCAGCAAGGTTAAAAAAAAATTGTTTTGCCATCATTAGATCCATTCTACAGGCTCTGTCATATATTCCAATCCTTATGCCTGATGGAATAATCAGGACATGAAAGCTATATGAAAGGCCACCAATGTTGGGGCAAATCTAATCTCTGGGGGGATGTTTAGAGAGAAAAGCTCTGTTCCTGGGTCTTTCCAGATAGCATGCGAATAGGGGCCTGTAGCTTGCCTCTTCTGCTGGATCTGATAGGACAGATACAATCAGAGAGAGGCTTTATATGCCTTGCATACTTTTACACTACTATATCTTCTCGTATCCCTAGATTTATGTTCATTTTAAAAAAAAATAGGGTTTTTTTTGCTGTTTGGATTTAATAATTCCTTTCACTCCTTGTTTCAATGTTTTAAGCCAGGGTCTTCAAACTTGGCCCTTTTATGACTTGTGGACTTCAACTCCCAGAATTCCTCAGCCAGGCACGTTGGCTGAGGAATTCTGGGAGTTGAAGTCCACAAGTCATAAAAGGGCCAAATTTGAAGA